ACGTGTTCAGCCAGACAAAAGGTACCGCGCAGTCACACCTGACCCAATGGATGAAGTCGGATCATCCTCAGCATTTCAATGACAGCCAAGAAATGATAAATTGGCTATCAGGATTCTTTCGTGATCCTAATGAGCGCGAAATAGCGCGCGTATTTTACAATAAATGCCGGATGTCGACCTCGGAATTGTTTAATCACTTTTACTGTTGTTTCTCGGAGCTATCAAGTAAAGCACGCATCGCCCCTGAAGATACTTTGTCGGATCTATTCCACAAACTCAGCCCGGACTTACACAAAATCGCCATTTCGTTCATGGCTACGGGTCCAACTTTATTGATAGCGCTCAAAAGATTCACGAATTTCGATAACGAACTGAAGCTGAACCGAAGTCAGAGCAGCATGTAGACAGCAGGGCGGAGACATGGGACAAAGAGGTGGTATTCAGGCTAAAGGGCGCCACTCTACATTGTGCATGAGATAGGTGCATAACCACTCGGCCAAAAGGCCAGACCAGAATCATAGAACTACTAGAATTTGGTTATCTCCACATATATAGATTATACAGAAGGCAATCCTGATAACCGAGAAGCAATAGCTAGCCAAACTCGTCGAATAACTCCAAATCCACCTATTCACGTGAGATCTCCCCACCAAAAGTCGAGCTCACCGAACTATTTGGCCCGCAAACGAAGCCTCGGCCCTTTATCTTCCCATTCTACTCTCGCCGCGCAGAAAATCTCACGTCCACTGCCCAAGACCATCAATTCGGAAGCTGTAAAGTGTTACAACTGCTAGAAGATAGGTCACTACAGTACCGACTGTCCGTAGGCCCGTCGTAGCCAGTCCAACATATCCAGCCAAATTCAGGAAATAGAGGTGGATCAAACAACAACGGAAGATCAAACTCAGTCGGATTCGGAAAACGACGAGCCCTGGAGAAAGTCTCCTCTCTAGGGTATTTGGTCGAGTTGTTCCAAATCAACTACAACCAGTTGATGGGAAATCTAGATATATTTCGCGTTCCTTGTAGATTAGTTTCCAATGGAATATCGGTTTCAATTTTAACTCTCCATGATTCCGGAGCACATGGTTTTTGCATCATAGACCGAAAGGTAGCAGAAAATATCTGCGACCGCCTAGAAATCCAGCCTGTGGCTCTACCCAGACCCATCACACCAAAGGGTCATAACGGCTCGCGCGGACGTATTACTACTCATTTTCTTGTTTGTACAATGGTGGTTGACAGATATTCTCTCAGCCAAATTCCTTTTCTCGTTCTAGATCTCGCAAGCCAAGATGCCATACTTGGTGACAGTTGGATGGCTCACTTCGAAGTTCTTCCAGACTTGCGTAATCGTAATCTATTTTGGCGCACCCCTCCCCAACAAAAACCTTCTTTTTGCTGTACTCTGTCACGGTTTCAGTACAAAATGCTTGGGCGATCTTGTAAGCACAGTATATTAATTATAATTCTCTGGAGAGAGAATTCCTCAATGTAAAGTCTACATATATCTACATTCTAAATTACTGCCCTTCAAGATGATTCCCCCTGTGACCTGAATAATTGAGACGCTTCTACAACTACCTAGAAGGTTATCGGTACACCTGTTCTCCTCATGAACCTTCAGTGTGTCTCCAGAAGGTTCACTGAGAATATTCGAAGTTCTGTGGCTTCCGAGACCTTCTCCTTGTGCCATAGCCTACGCTAGCCAGCGTAGGCTACAGGAGTCTTTCGGCTTAACAGCCGTCACATACTCTCAATATTGCGCTGAAAAAAATCTCGTCCTTTCCCTTAACACCAAATTAACGCAGACAGAAGAGACGCCGCATTTATCCAAGGAAATAAATATCCCTGAAGGCGAGGAAATATTCGAAAAAAATCACATGGTACACCTTCTCAAAAGAAAAGTTGTGAGATTCTCCCTACCCTCAGAATCATTGATGCCATTAACTACTTCATCGAAATCAAAAAACTTTGCAGCGAGACCAAGTACGCCCTGGGTAAATGAGCTTCTCCATCACTCAAAAAAAAGATTATTGCTTCCAATAAAGTGAAGGCTGATATCCTCGAAATTTCTGCAATGATTTTTAACCTGCTGGTGCGCCGCAAAGACGTGGAAACTTTCTCGACTAGTCTCCAAGAAATTGATTACAAATTAAATAGTCGAGAATTGGATTACGCAAATTGTGAAAATGGTCAAGATGTAGATTGTCAAATTTGTCCACCACAATATCACAACTACCTGGATGTCTTTTCAAAAAGCGCATCAGAATCGATTCCTCTCAATCGGCCGTATGACCATAAAATAGAAGTTGAAGGCAACGAACTTCTAGGTTATGGTCCTCTTTATAACAAATCCAGCGAAGAATTGCGAAATGTTAAACAGTATTTGTTGGACAACTTAGACAAGGGCTAGATTGTCCCCAGTAAAGCGCCCTTTTCTTCCCCTGTTCTATTTGTTAAAAAACCCAACAGAGGTTTAAGATTTTGCGTAGATTATCGAAAGCTCAACCAAATTACGAAAAAAGACCGCTACCCTCTCCCGCTAATTTATGAAACCCTCGCCCGCCCAAACAGTGCAAAGATATTCACGAAGTTGGAAATTTGCCAAGCATTTTACCGAATACGCATGCATCCTTATTCAGAAGAATTAATGACTTTCCGTACTCAATATTGTTCCTGTAAGTACCGTGTTCTCCAGTTCGGTCTCACTAACGGGCCCGTTACTTATCAGAGATATATGAACGGCACTCTATTTGATTATTTAGACATCTTCTGTACAGTTTACCTGGACGACATCTTAATCTACTCCGATGATATTTCCGAGCACGAGACTCAAGTCAAGCTTGTCCTACAACGCTTGAGGAATGCCGGGCTTCAGGTGGATATTAAAAAGTGCGAGTTTGGCATAAAAAAGACAAAATATCTGGGGCTTATTGTTGGTACTGACAGAATTTGCGTTGATCCTGATAAGATTTCTGTCATTAAGAATTGGAAGCAATCAACTAACGTCAAAGGAGTACAATCTTTCCTCGGATTTTGCAACTTTTACTGACGGTTCATCCAAAATTATGGAGTAATTGCTAAACCCTTAACTGTTGTAAAGGTAAGAGCTTACGGAGGTTAATTGGCAGAAGGTTTACGGATGGTTATCGATGAATCAATATGAACTGCTGATATATTTGATATTCAGAACTATGAGGACTTAGGAGGTTTAAAGCGCTAATTATATACACATCTGAGGTAGCTAGACTCTCGCCTCATTTACCCAAAATAGTATCACGGAATATTCTAGTCTCCTCCATCTGGCAGTACAATCTAGAAACACTTTCTATACAGTGCTCCATTGTTCCTCTACTCATCATGGAGCTACCTGGAAAGTTCTTCCTTCACCCTCAGTGATCATTACCCTTGTGCATCGCAATCCTAGCCATCACCAGCACAACATTAACTCGTCTCATTCATAAAGACGCCGAGTTTTGGTTTTCAGAGGAATGCAGAGCTGCCTTTCAAGAACTAAAAAATCGTATGATTAATGCCCCTGTTCTTTCACACTACGACCCTAGCAAAGAATTCAGGATTGAAACTGACGCATCTGATGGTGTTATTGCTGGAGTTTTTCCCCAATTATCTGATGACAATGATTGGCATCCTGTGGCTTTCTTCTCAAAAACAATGGCCCCAGCTGAATTGAATTACTAGATTCATGACAAGGAAATGCTAGAAATAGTGCGCTCTCTTGCCCACTGGCGCGCAGAACTACAAGGCACACCAAGGCGAATCGAAGTCTTCACTGACCATAAAGCTTTGGAATATTTCATGACATTCAAATCCTTAAATGCTCGTCAAGCACGGTGGGCCGAGGCACTATCTGAATTCAACTTCTTAATAAAATACGGTGCAGGCAAAGCAAATGCCGCTGCTGATGCACTGTCTCGTCGTGAACAAGACGTAAAACAACAAGCCTCGATGAAATCAGCAATACGGAATAAAGCCCTATTAACCAAAAGTAGTGTTGAAGATCCCCCCACAGACTTAGCTCTTGATATCTCCTTCGTCGAGACGTTTGAGCTTGCCAATCGCCTCCTGAATGTAAACAAGTCTCATCCATCACTGACTAAGCTTCGTGATCTTGCTAAAACCGGAGAAGAAGAACATTATAAGCTGGAAGAAAATCTTTTACTATTTAATGGGCGACTAGTGGTCCCAGATGCGGATAATATTAGAACAGAGCTCGTGCGTGAAGCACACAATCAACCTTCAACAGCACATCCGGGAACCAAGAAAACCTATAAGTTGTTAGCAGAGCGTTATTATTGGAAAGGTATGAAAAGCTTCATCGAAGAGTTCGTTGCAAATTGCCATCCCTGTAGGAGATCGCACTTGAACCACGATAAAACTCCCGGATGGCTTCATTTGCTGCCAGTTCCAAACCACCCCTGGCAACACATTTGTGCTGATTTTAAAGACATGCCGGAAGATGATGAGGGGCATCATATGGTGGCTGTGTTTATTGATCGTCTAAGTAAAAAAGCAGTCACCATTCCTTGTGAAAAAATCTGTGAATGCAAAAGATCTCGCGGAAATGTACTATGTCCATTGCTTTCGACACCTGGGAGTGCCCGAATCAATTGTGTCCGACCGCGGCCCGCAGTTTATCTCGGAATTTTTTGGTACGCTCTGCTTACTCCTTGGAGTTAAAAGTAATCTTTCGAAAGCCTAACATCCAGAAACCGACGGGCAGACCGAAATAATGAATCAATATTTAGACCTGGGACTCCGTCCTTCTGTGAATCACTTTCAAAATAACTGGTCTCGGCTACTCCCACTGATAGACTTTGCACAACTTGCATTACATCATGACAGTATCAATACCTCTCCATTTAAGTTCCTTCATGGCCATCCACCTCGCCTATCTTTTGACTGGAAAGCTGTTGAGATAGTACCGGCAAATAACGGTCACGGTACCAAAGGTGCAAACCCACGCCTAACGCTGCAACATGCACATCTACTGCTCGCCACCAAGCTTCGGGCGCGGGAGCGCCCAGGTAAAAACTATACACGGAAGCAGTCAAAGTGGTGACACCATAAGCCCCTGTAATATAAGCGCTAGCCGCAAGGGGTCGGGTACCACTCAGCGTATATGCAACAGCATCGAGTGTACAGGTGTATCTCGAGTGTCCCTAAAGGAAACTAGTACGGTCGCCCCTGGATCAGCTATTCAGGGGAGCTCAACTAGGGTACTGAGCTGCGATTATAGGGGCAGTGATGCGACTGGCAAGCAGAGGATATACGTGAGCCGCAGGAGCAGCGATGGCCGCTCATGAACCGTGGATTCATGAGCGTTGGACTGGTAGTGTGATTACTATGGATAGTTAATCACGAGATGGAACTAAGACTATGACATGGGTCATATAGATGTATATAAGATAGCATACATTCATACTTCTGACAGTATCAAAATCTGTCCAACAAATCCTCTACATACTCCAATCAGATATAACAAGTGACAAGTAACTCTTTTCCTATATGACTCATAACCTTAACAAAAGCTCCTCAAAAGCCAGAAAATGCTCGTCAAGCTATTTCCCAAGAAGAAGCAAAAAATCGAATTTGTCAAATTCAAGAAGCATGGGAATGGGCTCGTCATCATATGGAGAGTGCCCCGCGGAAGAAACAAAAAGACGTCGACATTCATTGTCGTGAACCAGATTTTCAAGTTGGTGATAAAGTTTGGTTGTCTACAAAAAATTTGTCTCTAGACCGGCCTAGTTAAAAACTTGGTCATCAAAATGTAGGACCATTCAAAATAGTAAAAAAGAAAGGATGTTCATACAAATTAGACTTAGCAACGTCGATGGGAGAAATTCATTGTGTATTCCACGCCAAGCTCCTTCGAGAAGACCCTGATAGCCCAGTATCAGGACAAATAAATCCGCCGCCCGAAGCCCTAGAAATAATTACAGGTCATAAAGAATGGGTTGTTGAATCTATCCGCACCTGTAAATTAAAGTACAAAAAATTGTATTACAGAGCGAACTGGCTGGGGGCTGATGAAGACCTAGAATATTACCCCGCTTCTGATTTCATGTACGCCCCAAACTTAATTAAGCAGTTTCATCTCAAAAATCCCACCATGCCAGGCCCACCTGTAGCACTTCCGAGATGGATCAATGCATGGGAAAAAGGAATAGAGGATTATGATTATCTTGAAGATAATTCGGCTATGGACAGAACTCTGCGGTCAGCGTTCTTTAGAAAGGGGGGTAGTGTGATGACCCGACATTTTAGTGGCCACTTGGTCGTCGGTCCAATAGTTGGTAAGCCGACACAGGGTCAATCCAGGAACTCTAACAACTAGTTTCACACACACGAGTCTTGTGTGTGACAAATCACGATACGAAAGGTTTGTCATGGATATTGGTTTTTATGCAAAGCCCTTGGGTTGTAGGTAATGAGGGACAGGAGGTTTCGTGTTGGTAACTTGAATTCAATAGTTGAAGTCTTATGTACATATATACAGATTCATATCCTCCTAGATAATTTTCTCTTTAGTTTAGAATCTTATGATTTGAGTCCACACCAGCTTTTGACCACTCGCCAATCGTCTTTTGTCCCTCGAGTTTCCACATTTGAAGCAGGATGAATGAGTGCCGATCGTCACTCAGTCCCGGAAGAGTTGAGCGACGTACGGTCCTATAGTGTTCTAACAAGCTGCTAGAAGATCAATTGATATTCCATCTGCTCCTTGGGCCGTGTTACCGCTGCCAATTGTGCAGTACCTGACTTCTTCCTAGGTGATGTCTTCCTTCCATGTGACTTGGTTGCTGCTTGTTGCAGTACATGGTGGCAGGTCATCTGACGCTTGATTTCGGGCAAGAAGTGCATCGCGAAGTACTATGGCTCGCTCTAACGGGTCCGAGATGGGGATTCCATTGTGATTGAGTGGTGGTGGAATGCTAGCCCGTTGTGAATTGGCCATTCTCAGTAGTTTGAACACATTACTTCGACCTCCTGCGTGTCACGGTTTCAGTAAAAAATGCTTGGGCGATCTTGTAGGTACAGTATTTTAATAATAATTCTCTAGAGAGAAAATTCCTATATCTAGACTACAAATATATGTAAACTCTAAGATACTCCTCTGCTTTAAGATTCCCCGTATGAATAGAATAATATGGAATGTTTGAAGATTCCCTAGAAGATTAACAATATGTCTGTCATCCTCATGAACCTTCAGTATGCTTCCAGAAGGTTCATTAAGAATCTTCTAAGCTCCGTGTATCCTGAGATCTTTCCCGAAGATTCCCTTAGTATCATTGCCTGCGCTAGCCAGCGTAGGCTGCAGGAATCCTTAGGCTTAATAGCCGTTACACTGCGTTTGATATTCTTTTTTCGCAGCTCGGAGAACAGATCGAAGTTTCTTCGCGCAGACGCCCCGCTGGAGAGAGGGTAAAGTCGCTTGATATTCGGCGCGTGCTACCATGCATGCCGGGGTCCACCAAGGTGCTGATTTACCGCTTCTTGCTCTGGCTCTGGTTCCAGTTGCGTTAATAGCGGCATTAATCTGGAAACAGAGTTCTTGGGCGTATCCTTCAACTTTTTCGACTGTGTCTAAGGCTGGAGACTTGATCCATCTGGAAGTGAAGTCAGCAAATTTGAGAAGATTTTTCTTTGTCACTCGGAGCTTGGAGATCCCAGGCTTCATTCTTGCAGCTCGAATCGGGATTTGTCCCCGGATAGGAAGATGATTGCTGGTTACGCATTAATTTCGATCCACCCATGCTCGAGCGCCATTGATGTTGGTCCAGGCTAGGTCCAAGGTGTTGCCAGTCTTATGTGTGGGCTCCCCAATAATAGGACAGGATAGATCGTGTTATTGCGCCCATCTGTCAATTTCCTCTCCTTGTCTGTAGATTCGAGTGGTGCTCGGTTGCCAGGCCCAGTATACTGAGTTGAAATATCCTGCTGCAACAGAGTTTGGCGGTGGATTCCAGTTAATGGGGAGCTCCACAGCCTGTAGGTTTTTGGGAGCCTAATAGACGTTGAGGAACGTGATTCCATGGACCACGACCCAGCAATAATCCGCCATAGGCTTGGCACAAGGAAAGACCTGTTCTGCAATTATTTCAATGCCATTTTTCCGAGTGTACGTCACCGCCCTCGGCCTGGACTGATCCTCATCATGGGGAATATGACAATCATATCCCGGATGAGTTTTCGTTGATTTGCTCTGTTTTTTCCACAGAGGTTCCTGTACAAGCAATACATCGACTCCCAGCTCAAAAGCTCGGGCGAGCGCGATGTCCTGTGTCGGGCCTCTCCTTCCTACATTTATCAACATAAAATTTAAGGTTGGGGGGAGACGGAAAGGGACCCATGGGGCGCCCTTTCCAAATTTTCTTCGCGGTTTATCTCCTCTGTAACCAAGGTTATAGATGGTGATACATCGGTCATCAGCACTTCGAAGCTGTTGCTGGTCTTGAAGCTCGTCTTAGCTATTTCTGCCTTTTCAGAGGCTGCTGAAACTGCGGCTTCAGCGCGTCTGACAGCTGATTTTGCTCGTACAACTGCAGCAAATTCCCGTTGACTCGCCTGCCTGATTGCCTCGAGGTTCTCTTTGGATGCTGGTCCAGACTTTGTAGGACGAGCTAGACAGTCACGACTGTCCGATCGGTGGGCGCCCCCACAGTTGCGATACTTTGTATGTGCCTAACACTCTGCAGAGGAGTGCATAGTTGATGTGCAGTTCCAGCAAGCTGGGGCACGTGAGCATCCTCGAGTGCCATGGAATTGCAGGCAGCGTTTGCACTGGCTTATTGCTTGCTTTGGAGTGTAGCGGACTGCAATTCCAGAGTCGTCGAAAAGTCGGAAGCCTGGCCGAGGTACAGACGCTCTCTCAAAGTGAGCTATCCAAGTTTGGTATGAAGCTCCTACTCGCCCTTCTCTGTGTGAACGGACGCGTACGGGAACCGCCTTAGTGGTTCGAGTGATTTCGTCAGCCACCATCTCTTCAGTGACAGTTATCCTGCCCCCAATTGTGTTGATGGTCACTGGGACCGACGAAATTCGGAGAGTTGCTAGATCTGAGGCTGTCTCCAACTTAGCCCCAGCCTTGCTGAATGATTCAGAAGCGTTTAAGAGAAGTTGGCGTGCTTCTTCGTTTTTGGCTTTGATTGTGAAGCCGGTGGGAACACGATACACATGTTCAATATTGGAGAATGAAACCTCCAACAATTTGATCACGGCATCTCTCACGCTAGCTTGCTTTCACGGATCCGTAAATAGAATTTTAATACTAATATTAATTCGTGATAAGATGAAGGGGTAGTTAATTAAAACCATCAATTTAATAATAGCTTCCCCTATACAATTAGTCGTGTAAAAAGTCATGTAAGGATATGCAAGAGAGTCATGAAGAGAAGGACAAGAACACAGCCATTAATGCGAAGATATTGGCAAGAATTGATTACGATTAATTCCGGTTGGCAAAATCTTCTACTCTTGTATATAATAGTTCGGCGTGAGAGAGATTTACTCCTCACGCAACGTCTTCTTTATTTTACCCTTTACAATACATTTGGTCACCCATCTCTTCTTCGGGAAGACCATATATCCATTGCCCAGTTCTTCATCAGCAAGACCCACGTGTAACATCTACTGCAACTAGTTGCCCATTCATCTCTTCCTAGAGAAGACCTGTCATCCCTTTGACCCATTTATAATCTTCACTTACCACCTAGATCTTCACTAGGCTATACAACGCACCCCGTGGAACACCGTCAAACCCTCATCCCTGAGACTTGCGAAAGAGCGCGCCATGCATGCTCCTCTCCGAGGCGAAGAAACAGACGAACATCTTTTGGCTTTGCAGTCACAAGTCTAGCTTGTTTCTTGACCTGTACTGCTGGGTTTGGGGCGACTCGAACAGTCTTCGCTGGAGCGATTGACTTTTGGGGAGAGCCTCGGGCGACTGTTGCCCAGGTCAATTTGGCCTGGGTCACTTGGTGTTGTGGCTCCTGATTGTTCATCGGAGTTTTTTCTTTGGCCTTGATTGTAGGACAACTTATAGTGTCCTGGCAGCTTGGGCGCTGGGGAAGGATTGGGGGGGCCGCACTGGGTCCCGACTTCATGAATTGAGCCACTGCTGCTCGGAGATAAAACTTCATCGAGTTTATAAACGGATCGCTCGACTCTTCCGAGTAGAGAGAGACCGCGGTCTCGACAGCATTGATCGCAGCAGTGCATATCATTATATTTTTTGCTGCTTGAGCTGCCCTGCGCTCTTCAGCTTCAATCATGGCTTGTAGTTCCGGGGGGCAGCCATTTA